ACTTAATTATTAGTATTTATCAGTAAAATCAGTATGTATCGAATCATGAAATTGATTATCAAAGGCGAAGTCAATAACCTGTATCAATTTCGGGAAGAGAGGGGGAGGCTCCAAAATAAATAGTTTAGCTTAATTCTGAAAAAACATGTATGGTCCCTTTCGTCCTTTCGATAAATAAGACTTTTATTAACTAGAACTGTCCAAACAGGACAAAATACCCCCGCTGGGTTTTTCAGAAGTACGTTTTTCCATAATAAAGATATGTATCAAACACGAATTATGAAATTTTAATTCCAGTGACCTTGATCTTCCCCAAATAACCTTGGGTCAAGGTCATGACACACCCTTGGGTCATGGGCAATCTTTGTGTGAAAAGAGAACCTACCAAGTTTATCCATAAGAAAGATATGGACCGGACTTGAATTATGAAATTTTTCTTCCAGTAACCTTGAACTTCCCCAAATGACCTTGGGTCAAGGTCATGACACACCCTTTGGTCATGGGCAATCTTTGTGTGAAATGAGAACCTACCAAGTTTATCCATAAGAAAGATATGGACCGGACTTGAATTATGACATTTTTCTTCCAGTGACCTTGAACTTCCCCAAATGACCTTAGGTTAAGGTCATGACACACCCTTGGGTCATGGGCAATCTTTGTGTGAAATGAGAACCTACCAAGTTTATCCATAAGAAAGATATGGACCGGACTTGAATAATGACATTTTTCTTCCAGTGACCTTGAACTTCCCCAAATGACCTTGGGTCAAGATCATGACACACCCTTGGGTCATGGGCAATCTTTGTGTGAAATGAGAACCTACCAAGTGTATCCATAAGAAAGATATGGACCAGACACAAATTATGATATTTTTCTTCCAGTGACCTTGAACTTTCCCAAATGACCTTGGGTCAAGGTCATGACACACCCTTGGATCATGGGCAATCTTTGTGTGAAATAAAAACCTACCAAGTTAATCCATAAGAAAGATATGGACCGGACAGAATTATGAAAATTTTCTTCTAGTGACCTTGAACGTTCCCAAATGACCTTGGGTCAAGGTCATGACACATCCAATCTTTGTGTGAAATGAGAACCTACCAAGTCCATAAAATATATGTATCAAACATGATTTTTGAAAATTTTCTTCCAGTGACCTTGAACATAATGACATTTTTCTTCCAGTGACCTTGAACTTTCCCAAATGACCTTGGTTCAAGGTCATGACACACCCTTGGGTCATGGGCAATCTTTGTGTGAAATGAGAACCTACCAAGTTTATCCATAAGAAAGATATGGACCAGACAAGAATTATGAAATTTTTTACAGTGACCTTGAACTTCCCCAAATGACCTTGGGTCAAGGTCATGACACACCCTTAGGTCATGAGCAATCTTAGTGTGGAGTAGTAGATTCTAATGTCCCTCTTTAAGAAAGATATGGACCGGACACGATTGCACAGACAGACGGACAGACAGACGGATGTACAGACGGACAGAAATACCGATTACTATATACCCTCCCGCTTTTCAAGCCGGGGGTATAAATATATTTAAAATTTTATTTTATATTAAACTTATTGAAATTTCAAATTTTTGAATGGATTTTTTGACATGTCTTTGCACTCTCACAAAATTTCCTTTTTTAAATACTTAGAAAAAGTGAAAATCTTGTTATGTATTAATGAAAAATATTAAAACTTTAATCCAGAAAAAAAATTCGGAAAAAAATGTTAGAAAGCAAAACTCCTTCAAAAGTATCATCACACCACGCTAAATGTTGCGTACAGAGTTTGGCAAATTGATCACATCCATGAAAGGTACAGTTTTTGTAAACAGGGCACCAGCTTTGTTATTGTTGCAAGATGTTTATGATTCACCGGGTGTGTTCAGTTGTTATTTCCTGCTCACCATAACTGTATGAACTGACTTTATACTGTGTGAATGTTCTGCTTTCGAACTTTTCTACTGTGAATTTTCTGGATTATAGTTTTAATATTTTTCATTTATACACAATAAGACCTTCACTTTTCCTAAGTACAGGGTGATCCAAAATATCTGATACTAGTTTGACTTTCAATAGCTTTAATTGTCAATAATCATTCTACATATTTCATTTATACATCATTTTAAATTGCTTGTCCTATCATTTTAATAAATATAAAAAAAAACGGAAAAAAGTTGACGTTGCCATGATGTTATGACGTCATAAATCTGTTATTGTTTATTTTACATGTACATGTATATGTCAAATCAGAGAGCTAGCGCTGCAGAAATTGTCCAATTATATTTTGAGACACATTCATCCGAAACAGTGATTCGTATCATGAGAAAAAGTTATCCACTGGGCACTAAGCTTACAAAAATGCAGGTTAATAGGTTAGTGAAGAAATTTCAAAAGACTGGTTTACGAGAAGATGCTCATTTGAAAGACATTTGAAGGCCCAGTACAATGAAAACTGTTGAATCAGTTGCAGTTGTTAAAGACCTGATAACGGAAACACCACAAAAATCAGTGAGAAGTGTTATGAAAAATTCAGGAAACAGGCCCAGTTATGGAAGTGTGTACATAACTTTACTGTATTACATAAAACTTTTATCCTTGTACAGTGCCTATGATTTATTGCCTACAAGATGTAGGAACCCCGGACACATCATCAGAAAAGTTCCTGTGGTTGCAAAAAATCATTCAGTAACCAACTGATTTCGTTCAGGACCGACTGTGTTTGGCAACCACATTCTTCTGATTTAAGTCCATAGAATATTTTTCTGTGGGGATTTTCAAAGGACAAGGTGTATACTTTAACTAGAAAAGCTGAAACTCGTGTTTCAACTCGCATCGTGGGCTATTGTAGAATCTAAATTATATTCAAATTATAAACTGCAGGGGACCCGTTTCATCAAAAGTCGTAGATTTGAACCTTAAAGCTGAACACTACTTGTAAATAGGCATAGTCCGCCATATTTCCCGTTCTTCAATGCTCTCCCTACAACTCGTATATAAGGAGCAGATCGCTAGTCAGTTCAATGTATTTTACAATAGAGATCCGACGAGTGCAGACGTACATCTAACAAAGCGTGCTACTCAATATCGATGAAATTATCAAATTTTACGTATTTTTTTCAAAACACGACAAAAGTATCATGGAAAATACAGGTCAATACATTATTTACAAACAGAAAATACACATGAAAACAAGAAATAAACGCAAAAAATCTAAGACCACGATAGGAGTACTACATGTCGGCCACAAGTTTCGAGTGTGCAATCGGGTGTAACGAAAGCGAAGGGTTTATATACCCATTTGACAGTGCCTATTTATGAGAAGTGTTCAGCTTTAACTTAGGCGTACTTCCGGGGCTTACGCCAAAATTTAGTCGGGCGTAATTTGCGTTTCACCAAGTGACATAAGTCTAGTCGTAAATGATACGCTTAGTCGCAGGACTAAGTCCTTTACAACGTTGCATTGCGCAGGCGCAAAAACATAAACATTGTCCAGTGTGTACTGTAAACATGTATAAATTGTAGCACGTCAAAGTACAGTATAACACAATTTACAGATAAATTAATACTTGCACTGATTGAAACATGCGTGGATTTATAGGATCATGTAGGAGACATGTATCTTATAAGAAATCGGTTTTATTTTTTTTAATCATTTTTTTTTACATTTCATTACACCCCCCGCAAACGAAGTTTGGGGGGGTATATAGGAATCACCTTGTCCATCTGTCCGTCTGTCCGTCCGTCCGTCTGTCTGTCCGTCCATCCGTATGTTACGCTTTGGGGTACCCATCTCTTATCTGCAACCATTTTAATGAAACTTTCACAGAATCTTTATTACATATTGCCATTGTGCACCTCCTATTTTACTTTTTGATCTGACATATTTTTTCGATTTTCCAGAGCAAAACATGGATACTGCCCATATATTCATATGGGAAGCGGGGGGTATCATTTAGTGAGGTCATTGCTCACAATACCTCTAGTTTTGTGTGAAATGCTGTTAAAATATACAAGTCGTGTTATAACTTCAAATCTGTGTCCATGCACCTTTAATTAGATTTTTTAATGACCCATCCTATTTTTGCCTGTTCTCAATTAAATCCCATTGTAAAAAGTCTTTTGTTTTAACAATTTAAACGCCATTTCGTCCAGGGATACATTCTGCCTTATCTGTTTGAAATTGCTTAAGTGGTCCTCGCGAAGAAGTAGAAAATGTAAAAATTTACAGACGGATGGCAGCGGGAAATGGAGAATGAGAACAAGAAGCCTATGGGCCACATCGCTCTAACCTGAGAAACTTTAGATATGTTGTTTTTTTTTTTTTTTAACTAGGTGTTCCCTCTCGTAGTATCTATTGTGAAACCAACCTGCTCAAACAGGTCATGATTTAAATAATTCAAAATCAAAACGACCCCATGATGCTTCAACACAAGTTTCAGCTTTATTGGTTATTTAGTTTTTGCTTGAGAGGAAGATTTTATAAATAAAAAAGATTGTTCCTACGTATTTAAGTGTAAAACTTGCATTCCATATTTTGGCCAACCTGTTCCCTAGGGCCATGATGTAAAAAATTAAGAATCTACCCTAATCCAGGATGCTTCCACTTAAGTGTCAGCTTTTTGGGCCCAGCGGTTCTTAAGAATATTTTTTAATTGACCTTCCCTATTTTTGTCTTTTCTTGATTATATCCATTTGCAAGGTGATTTGGCCCTTCATTTTCACAATTTAAACTTTCCTTCATTCAAGGATGCTATATTATTAAGTTTGGTAAAACTTTGTCCATTTGTTCTTGAGAGGAAGTTGAAAATGTGAAAAGTTTACGTACAGATGCTCAACGGGTGATCAGAAGAGCTTACTTGAGTTTTCAGCTAAGATGGGTTATACAGCAAACTTATTTGAGCTTTCAGTTCTGGTAAGCTAAAAGGTCCCCCAACTTTATTGAGTTTATGAAGGTTTATGTTTGTTTCAAGCACTTCTCTTGCATCACCACATACCTTTCTGGAATGAATTCTGAAATGGTAAAATTTTCAGGCATTATTGAGCTCACTGTCAATTTGTTATTGACTGTTGTTGAATGGACTTGGAGCTTAGTTGTGGGTTGGCTTGTTATTGGTCTAGGAACTAATTTGTAACAATCTTGATCTACAGAGAGAAAAATATACAATTTTTTATCTTACTGTTAAAAACAATAATAATTAGAGGACTTATCAAGATTTTTTTGAAATGTTTTCTTTATGAAATACTGTAAATGTTTTACGTTTAGCATGTATGATAAATTATATATTAGGTGGGAATTGACTTAAGAACAAGTAAGCATAAATTTGAATCAGTGCAGTTCCTAATGTTCTTTTTTATGCTTATGCAAGACATTTAGCATTGTATTGGAATTAGTGGAATTTTTTCTGCCAAGAGGACTTAATAAAAACAAAAGACCCAATGACTTTTACAGTCATTTGAATATAATACGACAGAAACATTTAACGAGGTTGGCTCCTGATGTTTCAAATCTTTAACTCTTTGTCAAGTATATTATTTGTAACTTTCTACACACATAGCTTATTAAAAAATCAAATCAAAATATGGGGGGTCAATATGCTTCTTTTGGTGCTACAGTTCTTTAAATATGACATTTTTGCACTGAAGTCTGTGTCTTAATCAAAATTATATATTCAAAGTCCCCAACCCTCAATATGTTTATCCAAATAAAGCGTGGAACAGAATAAAACTATAAATCTATTTAAAAAAAAGACACTTTAAAATTGTGACTTAGAAAAGGTTTCAAATTGCGTCGCATAATAAATTATTTGACCTTTCTGCACTAACAAAAAGCTATTTTTCCGAAATTGAAAATTTAATAAGCACGAAAATAATTTTAAATTCTTAAACTTTTGCAAAATTTAATTTCATAGGTCAAAGTTATCTTCAATATTCAGAAAAGAACGTCAAAATTGGGGATATACTAGTTAATATTAATTTTTATATATATCTAAAAATGTGTCAATTTTGTGTTAAAACTGGCTCAATTTTTTTCATTTTCAGGATATATTTACTGTATTTGTCATAATTCGTCGAAAGAATTCAAAAGAAATAATTCAATAGATATTCCAAAACAAACATAAAACATTTCGCTGCAATAAACAGCTTTGTGTGCAACCAGCGTTGAAAAAATGGGAATGTAAAATTAACAGTACTGTGTATAGTTCAAAAGGGAAAGATTGAAAAATTTCTTCGAAAAAACCTTCGCCATAAAATATAGTTTCTAGCTTAATCCTACTTGGATGAAATTAAATTGCGGTTTTTGCAATGGATGCCGTTTAATTTGCATCGTAGAATCTAATTCTATGTTAAAAGATAAAGGTCCAGACCAATATCGACTCCAAAGCACAGAGATTCCACCTATAGGAGATAAAACTTATTCTTGTTTGAAATCAAAAAAAACATACTAAATTTGTCCAAAGAGTTCGTGGAAGATGGCGTTTTTTTCGTTTTTTTTTTTTTTTTTTTTTTTTTGTCAAAATGAATGAATATAATTAATGTATACCAAAATATTAGATATGAAATCCAGGTCAGAATATTTGGTCTTTTGTCCAAAGAGTTCGTGAACGATGGCGGTTTTTTTTTTTGTCAAATGAATGTATATAATATAATTAATGTATACCAAAATATGAGATATGAAATCCAGGTCAGAATATTTTGGTTTTATTGTTTAAACTTATTATTTTTGTAAAAGTTGCGGTCATTGAAGGCGCCGATAGTGCGCAAAGACAAGGATTAAAATGTCATAAACCTTTAAATGAAGTGTTGCAATTAAAATAATTATTTCTTCATAAAACGGGTCAGAGCTTAATAAAATTGAAATGTATCGCAAATATAACAGTATCTTCATTTTCTGATACTTTTAGTAAAAGCACAAATGCTCATGGGGGATTGCATTCTGTTAAATTTGTTGAAAACAAGAGTAACAATAAGTTATATTATGACAATACATTGAATAAGTTTACTTTCAAAACAACGACATAAAAATCCCACAAAACTACTTTAAACGACAAATTAACAAAACATTATCCCCACAAAAAGTTGCTTCTACAGTATGTACACCACCAGATAATTCAGTTGAAAGTAAACATTGCCTCGATTGCTTATAGATCTGTTAATAATATGGCCCTATCGAAACATCATGGAAAATCTGAAAAATTGTTGGTACACCCTGTCTCCAAACTGCATACAGTAGATTTTAATAGACGGGCTCTACAATATATTTGATCACGATCCGATGTCATATCCCAATGATACTCTAATATCTATACAGGGTTCTCCATGAGCTGTTTTACTGTGTTGCTCCCGACACAGTAAAATTTTCTCCGACACAGTAACGATTCAAATTTTATGCATGCAACACAGTAAAAATTTTGCCGACACAGTAATATCTGTGATAATTAGAAAATCTAAACACACTCCCTAACTGAGACTTTAATTAAACAATTATATCGTATTTCAATTATAAAAGTTAGAACACTTAAACACTAGGGCTTCACCTTGCATAATTATAATTATCTCCTAGACCCTCACCGGACTTTACGCATGACGGAACAAAGACAAATAATTTGTTTTCACACTTCCATGTAAGGGTTAATTGGTAGTTGCAATAAGATACATTGTATAAGTTAAAAAAAAAATTAAATATGTCTTTTGACTCTTTTCTATATAGAGCCATGGCTCTAGAATTATTTTAGCACTGTAAGTCAGACATAACATCGTATCGAAGTCATTTAATTGATGTAAATAAATTGCTTAAAATTTGAACATGTTCAAGGAACTATTAAAATATTTTACTGTTCTGAAGTTTCTTTTTTTTGTAATGTGATAACTCGATCAAGAAAGCTGATAAATAATCACGGCAAATTTACTTTCAAAAATGTTTAGTAGTATGACTGTATCGGTCAGAATTTCCTCTGCTTTTCAGAACGTGCTTTTACTTTTATCAATATGTACATGTGCGACCATACCATTTGTGTAATTAATTAGCGATCTTTAAGCTTAAATAAGTGTGTGCATGTATTCTTTTGTAATTTTCATAAAAAAGTGATTAAGTTGTGAATTTGATCGCGAAAATACCGCGAAATTTTAGTTCTTCGCGTTAACTCTGCAACACAGTAACATTTCAAATGATGGAGAACCCTGCTATATATTCCCTTTTTATTCGTGTTAAAACTTAAAAGGGACACTAGAAAACATTTAAACTTTGTTATGGAAATGCAAAATAATGCATCTTTGACTTCAAGCGACAATCATGTTCACACTCTGAACTTTTCAAATGGCTCCTGCTGTTTGCTTTCCATATCCAAGAAAGTCAGATCATGTGACCAACTGCATGTCATTAAAAATTGAATTTCAGTTTAATTAGTATTATTATATAAGGAAAGACATCGGCAAACGTAAAAAGCTTATGAATGAAGTCAAAACGTTTTCGGTCAATTCTCACTTGCCTATACAAGTTTAAAATTAACTTTGAAAGTGTGCAAGATAAGAACTTACATTTATATGCCTCAGTGGAGTGATAAATAACAGGACAAGGATTTGGAAATGTTCTACAGTTCATACCACTCTCCTGGATCAGATTTCCTGAAATGCTGTACTCAGTACATCTCCCTTAATTAAAATTGAAATGAATTATTTGTAATCATTAACACTTTACAGATAGATTGTATATTGTATAATGTCCCTATCGAGAATTCGTTTCACTCATATGGTCAAACACCACCACTTGCAGGTGGAGAGCTTCTTTATACTCGGCTCTCAGGGCCATTGAACAGTGAGGGATCTTTTTCGTGACAGCACCTAATGCAACACAGGACCTCAGTTTATATGATCTCATCCAGAGGACTGGTTTCCACTTCCAACTGTGAGATTTGAACCAGTGAGGCTGTGATGCTCTAACCACTGTGCCACATGGGCCATGAAATGAAATGACAATAATGAATAATAAAAAATTTTAGCAATCTATTTAAAATTAGAACTTTCATCTTGCTCTTCGTTTTTGATATGTCGCTTCGTGAAAGGACATATCAAAAATGAAGAGCGAGATGAAAGGTCTAATTTTAATTAGATTGCAATTTTAGATACGATATCAATGGATTTCAGTCTCACCAGTGACTGATTATCCTAAACAATTATAACTAGAACTTTCCAATAGGGACAAAAACCCCCAGCTGGGGTTTTCAGAGAGGGTGCCGATTCACAAATATTTTTTTGGATCTAAAGATATTCACAATTTACTCACAAAAATTTGCCGAGAAGTATACTTACTCATTGTGTTTTTTAATGAATGAAACATTTTTAGGAACAACCAAATGAAACATCAATACTTACACATTGCAATTACATTGCAACTTTTTTTTCTGTATTAAAAAAATTTATTGCAACTAGAACTGTCCAATAGGGACAAATACCCCCAGTTGGGTTTTTTAGGAGAAGGTGCCAATACGCAAGTTTCGAGATTATCTTCCTTGGTGCGCTCTTTCGTTGAGGAGGGAAGTTTGGTTGCCGCGTAAACAAACAGGTGGGACAAATATTTATTATTGAATATATCGCATCATCGATATACTGGTTTATCGTAACTTTATAATTGTAAGGATGCACTGTTCAACTCGAGAACAACCAAATTAAAGTAAACGTGTCATTTTTTAAAGCAAAAAAAAAAAAATAAAAAAAAAAATAACAAGATGTGTTTGTGAAACACTATGCGCCCGGCGGCAACAAAGTTCAAAAAATCTATTTTCAGCATAATGGTCACAGGCAAGGTCACAAGGTCATTGACCTTGGTGTCGTTTGAAAGAACTTAATCGGTGGAGTATGCATACCAAATATGAATTTCCTATCTCCTATGGTTCAAAAGTTATGGTAAAAAGTGTAAAAAGCTATTTTTAGTATATAGGTCACAGTCAAGGTAACAAGGTCATTGACCTTGATGTCATTTGAAAGGACTTTATTAACGGAGTAAGTATACCAAATATGAAGTCCCTATCTCCTATGGTTCAAAAGTTATGACAAACAGTGGAAAAAACTATTTAAGCATATAGGTCACAGTCAATGTTATAAGGTCATTGACCTTGATGTCATTTTAAAGGACTTTATTAATGGAGTAAGTATACCAAATATGAAGTCCCTATCTCCTATGGTTCAAAAGTTATAACAAACAGTGGAAAAAAATATTTTTTGCATATAGGTCACAGTCAAGGTCACAAGGTCATTGACCTTGATGTCATTGGAAAGGACTTTATTAGTGGAGTATGCGTGCCAAATATGAAGTCTTTATCTCTTATGGTTCAAAAGTTATGGCGAAGGTTAAAGTTGACAACAGACAGAAAGACAAACAGACAAACAGATAAACAGACAAACAGATAAACAGACAAACAGACAGGACAAAAACAATATACGCCCGGGATCTATCGATCCGGGCGCATAAAAATAGGGACAGAAAAGAATATTCAGTGGATGTGAGACTTTTCTGACAAGGGAAGAGATATATATGGACCTCTAATAAATACAGTAAACATGAATCTGATCATTACATGTTGGCAAACTAAATGACACATTGATTTTTCCCCTTATTATAACTTTAAAAAAACCTACTAACTTTTTAGAGAATGTTTATACAATCAAGAAAATCTCCCTTTTTTTATAAAGACCACGACGTTTATTTCGTTTTCAAGTACAATTTAATTGAATTGCGGAATTGTTTTCTTTCAAATTTCGTTTGAATGTAATGATTATAATCGTGTACACTATAAATGGCTGTTTTTGTGGTAGTAAGGTGCCGATTTAAGAGACGGCAGGACGAATAACCCGCTCGTAACATGGCTCTGTTTCGCGTTAACGTCATCGTCACGGTTGATTGAAAACCATTCCAGACCCTCTCTGAAAACGGGTAACAAGTTTTATAAGGGGAAATTTACAAGAAACTGATTTGTAAACCATTGTTGCCTTTAAATTTTCATTAATTGGGCAATTCGAAAACAAGACCCCACTGGACTTCTGTAAACTGTGCGAAGATTGCAAGAAATTCATAATGTCTCTTGATATTGAAAAACGATGTGCATACCTCATATGCATCAAATAATGCAACAAGATTTGTCGCCAAACTCGTCGTTATCATATTGCACGTGTTTTGTGCTTTTTAGCGTTTTCCCTACTTGACGTCATGAATTTTACGGTTGAGTAATTCTGAATACAGATTTTGGTGCACAGTACATACATATACATGTATATAGGTTTATCCTAACCTTAATAAGACTTTGTCACCATGAAACATTGTTAACAAAAAAAAAAAACACGGTATTACAAAAATGCTTGTAAATTCTTATCTGAATTAAAAAGGAAAATATAAAATTTACTAGCAAGTGATCTATGATTTGAAACATTGTTTTTAAATTAAATATCTTCACACAGAACTGCTCTGAACTTATCAATAACATTTCCACTTTAGGTTTACCATTTACTGCGTATCATATTAGAATTAATATCGAAATTTCACTTGAAAAAAAAAAATTATGTACTAAAGATCAATTAAAAATTTTAAAATATTTGCATATTATATTATAATCCTTTCATATACTAAAGGTATTTTAATTCATATTTTATCATTATGAAGATTTTCATAGATTTACAGTTTCTGTATACCATGTTTAGTAAACATCAAAGGGTCAAAAGATAATAAGAAGGTCACCACGTTTCACAAGCAAGGTGTACAGGGTATACACAGGGACCAGTAAGTAAATATCAATCAAGTTCCAGCATCCAATGATGGACCCTCACGCACTTGATTGACAGGGCTACCCAGACCAGGTATTTTTTTAAGCCTGTGCTTAAAATCTCTGCATTTAAGAGAATAAGAGAAGAGAGGTCTTCAATTCTCGTGCCATATTCCCAGGAGATTATAGATAAAATTTGGTTGATAAGAGATGCCTTAACAACTTCCCATACCATACTCATTTATTTATCTTTAACTGGATACATGTCCAGTCATTATTCCCAAGAGACAAATGAATTTACCTTATCTTCTGTGTGATGTAAAAACTGTTTTTAACACTTGATGATGTTTCTTTTTTTTTAGTTTTAAAGAGTACCAGGTAGTTTTAAGCTGTAGTTTACATTTTTGTACAGATATTCTAGATTCTATGTTTCAAACCTTAAACATGAGCATAAAATGAACAAGTCAATTAAAATAAAAAATACAAGAGGTCCAGGGGCCACATTGCTCACATGAGCAATTGGCTAGATAAAAGCAGATATCAGATCAGAACTGAAAGTTTACTGAGGTGGGGGGAATTAAATTTTAAGCTCCCATGGGGTCATGATTTGAACAAACTAGAATCTACACTACCTGAGGGTGATTCCCTGTAAATATCACTCAGCATGGCTTTTAAGTACTTGAAAAGAAGATTTTAAAAGGTTTCCCTATAGATTCCTATGTAAAACTTTATCGGCCATTTGGCCCCACACTTCGCCAAGGGATCATGATTTGAACAAACTTGAATCTACACTACCTGAGGATGATTCCCTATAAATATCACTAAGCATGGCTTTGAAGTATCTGAAAAGAAGATTTTAAATGGTTTCTCTATATACTCCTATTTAAAACTTTTATCGGCCATTTGGCCCCACCCTACCCCCAGGGGTCACGATTTGAACAACCTCGAATCTACACTACCTGAGGATGATTCCACAGGACTTTCATCTTTCCTGCCCGAGTGGTTCTTTTCTATATATATTCCTATTTAAAACTTTTATCGGCCATTTTGACCCCACCCTAGCCCCGGGAGTCAAGATTTGAACTAATTTGTATCTACACTATCTGAAGATGATTCCACATGAGTTTCATCTTTCCTGCCCAAGTGAGTCTTGAGAAGAAGATTTTTCAAATATATTCCTATGTAAAAATTTATTCGGCCATATTGGCCCCACCCTAGCCGCAGGAGTCATGATTTGAACAAATTTGTATCTATACTACCTGAAGATGATTCCATTTGAGTTTCATCTTTCCTGGGCCAGTGGTTCTTGAGAAGAAGATTTTTAAAGATTTTTCCTATATTTTCTATGTAAAACTTTGATCGGCCATTTTGGCCCCACCCTACATCTGGTGGTCATGATTAGAACAAACTTAAACTTACACTACCTGAGGACGATTCCATGAGTTTCATCTTTCCTGGCCCAGTGGTTCTTGAGAAGATTTTTTAAAAATGCCATTTATTTTTCTCTAATTTATAATTATTTCCCCTTGGAAAAGGGCATGGCCCTTCATTTGAACAAACTTGAATCCCCTTCACCCAAGAATGCTTCGTGGCAAGTTTGGTTGAAATTGGTCCTGTGGTTCTTGAGAAGAAGAAGATGAAAATGTAAAAAGTTTACAATGACAACAACGACTATGACGACGACAACAACAACAACAATGACAGACAACGGACAAATTTTGATCAGAAAAGCTCACTTGAGCCTTCGGCTGAGGTGAATTAACAAGAGGCCCATGGGCCACATCGCTCACCTGAGAGGCTTTGACAATTCTGTCCTTTACTAGATTTACACCTTGTAATACATATTGTGACCCCACCCTACCCCACTGATCATAATTTAGACAATTTGAAATCTACACTACCCCAGGATGCTTCCATATAAGTTTCACCTTTTCTGGCCCAGTTGTTATTAAGAAGAAGATTTTCAAAGATTTTTCCTATATAATTCTATGTAAAACTTTGATTCCCCATTGTGGCCCCGCCCAATCCCCAGGGGTCATGATTTGAACAATTTAGAATCTACACTACCCCAGGATGCTTCCACATAAGTTTCAGCTTTTCTGGCCCAGTGGTTCTTGAGAAGAAGATTTTCAAAGATGTTTCCTATACATTTCTATGTAAAACTTTGATTCCCCATTGTGGCCCCGCCCAATCCCCAGGGGTCATGATTTGAACAATTTAGAATCTACACTATCCCAGGATGCTTCCACATACGTTTCAGCTTTTCTGGCCAAGTGGTTCTTGAGAAGAAGATTTTCAAAGATGTTTCCTATATATTTCTATGTAAAACTTTGATTCCCCATTGTGGCCCCGCCCAATCCCCGGGGGTTATGATTTGAACAATTTAGAATCTACACTACCCAAGGATGCTTCCACATAAGTTTCAGCTTTTCTGGCCCAGTGGTTCTTGAGAAGAAGATTTTCAAAGATGTTTCCTATATATTTCTATGTAAAACTTTGATTCCCCATTGTGGCCCCGCCCTACCCCTGGGGGTTATGATTTGAACAATTTAGAATCTACACTATCCCAGGATGCTTCCACATAAGTTTCAGCTTTTCTGGCACAGTGGTTCTTGAGAAGAAGATTTTCAAAGATGTTTCCTATATATTTCTATGTAAAACTTTGATTCCCCATTGTGGCCCCACCCAACTCCCGGGGGTTATGATTTGAACAATTTAGAATCTACACTATCCCAGGATGCTTCCACATAAGTTTCAGCTTTTCTGGCACAGTGGTTCTTGAGAAGAAGATTTTCAAAGATTTTTCCTATATATTTCTATGTAAAACTTTGATTCCCCATTGTGGCCCCGCCCAATCCCCGGGGGTTATAATTTGAACAATTTAGAATCTACACTACCCCAGGATGCTTCCACATAAGTTTCAGCTTTTCTGGCCCAGTGGTTCTTGAGAAGAAGATTTTTTAATGACCCAACCCTTTTTTTGTCTTTTCTTGATTATCTCCCCTTGCGAGGGGATATGTCCCTTCATTTTAACAATTTAAATTCCCCTTCACCCAAGGATGCTTTGTACCAAGTTTGGTCAAAATTGGCCCAGTGGTTCTTGAGAAGAAGTCGAAAATGTGAAAAGTTTACGGACGGACAGACGGACAGACGGACGGACGGACGGACGACGGACACAATGTGATCAGAAAAGCTCACTTGAGCCTTCGGCTCAGGTGAGCTAAAAACCTGTGAAATGCAGAAAAATGAACAAATAAAGTTGAAAATTCTAGGTGCACACCTTCATATGGTGAATAATAAGTACAGATTTTCAGATAAATCCTTGCAATAGTTTCTGAGAAATGGTCAGCACAAAACCACAAAATAAAAATGAAATAAAAACACCTGTAAAATTCAAAATAATTCATCCAATCAACATGAAAATACATTCATATGGTGAATAACATGTGTACAAATTTTAAGACAAATTCTTGTACTTTTACTTTAATTTACTTTTGAGTAATGGTCCGGACTTAATCTCGTCTACAGACAGACGGACAGCTAGAGGGACGGACAGACGGATATGGTGATTCCAATATATCCCCTAGACTTCGTTTGCCGGGGGGGGGGGGGGTATAATAAACTTAAACTTTGCAGCACAAACCTAAAAGAATATTTCTCCCAATGACACAGACTTCTAAGGTTTCATTTACAAAGGGGTTTAAGACACAGTGGTAGACAATTCTTTCTGGTTCTGAGCATGATTCAGCAAGTGATGTACAGTTCTTTCTTTTGGCTGCTTCCATCCACTCAATTTCATTCTCTGGACATTTATTGACGCTGACTACAGTTCTTCGCGAAGCATCACATAAATCTGCAGCATTACACTAAATAACAAAAGGACTAACTTCAAATTTGTGATTTTCTGTTAAACTGGCATGTTAGTAGAATTTTAAGTCTCCTGTAACTGTTACTTAATTTACATCTTTTTACTTCATATATCATTTTAATGCATTGTTGTTTTTTTTTTAAATGATGGATAAGGCTGGCTGAAATTAATTCTACATTCTTCTTTCAATGACATCACCTAAACCTGTATATTCATGTAATAAACTTTAAACTTTAAGAATTTTATAAACTTTGAAGATAAAACTTTGCAAAGTAAATGCTCTAAATCTTGAGTACACAGATGAACTATCAGTTGACTTTTCCTAGCACACACAATTGCTGCCTGAGCAAGATTTCAATTGAACATGTTCAATATTTTTATAAACTTTGAAATTTTTAAACATGCTTTTTTTAAATACAGTTATACATCAGATTCATATAAATATCATTTCACAAGAGAAGAAATTTCTTTTATCACGTTAATTGTGTACTATCAAAGGTTACTTAAATAATACACCAAACAGAATATGGTGGGAAGGTTTCACTGCCTATGGCCATACAGAGTGTGAGAGAACTTGGTTGGTAGAAAAAGTACCTGACCAGTGCACTGGCCAAGGGCCTAGGTTCAAATCCTTGCCTGGAACATCACATTTTCATGTGTTTATCCTGGCAGTTACAAAATCTAAAAATAAGTCAAAATCTTTCACTAATAATCAAAGTCCTTAAACCTTAAGAATTCCAAACTGATGTGATTTTGTTGAGCAATCATTTAACACATGACCACATCAGACTCTAGCAAAATTACTGTTATCCCTCACTTTTTTAAAAATAAATTTGTTCTATTTACATATGTATTAATTTTAGTATCAGGGGATGGCAAATACCATTGTCAGATGCCTGGGGCTAGTGAATTTTAGGGATGGGAAAGTGAAATTTTATCAACGGTTATCAAATAAAATAAATTCAATATGTAACCCTAGATTTGAAGCTTGGCATAGGTGTTGAAGAAATACGCACGCTAACTCTCGATTCCCGCCTACATTTTGGAATCATTTAATTCAATATAAATAGCAATTTGGCCATGAAATCTTAGTTTAATACAAAGAACAGTTCAATGGTAATTGAATAATTGTCTTAATACCAGCGCTAAACAGTAAATTATCCATAATTCCAGCTCTTGAAAAAAGGGGGGTAGACAATATTTTCCACTTAAATCGGAGTTTCAAGCATCACCATATTTTGAAATAGTCTTGGAAATGATTAAATTTTCCTTATATCTTTTCTAATGTTTAAGACCAATAAATAAAACATAAATATATCAATAGCATAGACAGAACGCCTAATTCAAGACTGTTATGTTTCAGATGTAAATCGCTTTGAAATTGGTGGAAAATAAGCAATTTTATCTTTTTTTGTCAATAAACATATGTCCCCCCCCCCCCCCCCCCCCGCATCACAAAAAAAAAACCTTTGTGAAATTTGTGAAATAACACTCCAAATTACCTGTAAAAAGGAATTTTTGTGACACGGGGGCCCGGAAAGATGTTTTAAAAATATTTTATGTTTTCCGTTGATTTCTATAGTGAAAAACACAAGTTTTACCAAAATTTTAGAGTTATCTCTCTTTGTTTTCCCAAATAAGTAATGTTTTATGAAAATCCATATAATTATCTATAAAAAAAATATTAAAAATTAATCGAATATGTTAACTTTTGAAAATTGACTTGGATGTACGCGGGAGAACAATACTATCATGCGCAGTTTTTTATCCACTCAGTATTTGGTTTCCTCTTCTTTTAACATGTTTAACATTTATAAAGTATATTATAGTCTATGGTAGGGCAAGCAAATAACTAAGGTAGGAAAAGTGGATGTTGACCTTGTACTTGCCCTTGGACAAGTGCCATAAAATCTGTTAACCCCTGAATATGAAAATGTTAAGGCTGGTTTCCCACCATTTTAAGCCTATACTCAAATCTCTTCAAAGTTCTCTCTTCTAATAATTAGTAATATTAAAATTCTTCAGCTAGAAATGATGGGACACAGTGTAAATATGCATGATCCATGAATAAAAAAATAGAAGTGACCCATGGACCACATCGCTCACCTGAGTAACTTGGGTGATGCAGTTCTTTACCAGGTTTCCCCTCTTGCTATAACAATTGTGCCCCCTATCCCCTTCCTTTTTGACATGATTTAAATAGTTTAAAATCTACACTACCCCATGCAGGATGTCTCCACATAAGAGTTTCAGCTTTCCTGGCCAAGTGGTTCTTTAGAAAAAGATTCTTAAATGATTGGTTCTATACATTTCTATGTAAAACTTGAAATTCCCTAATGTGGCCCTGCCCTACCCCAGGGGGTCACAATTTTAACAACTTAATATCTACACTACCCAAGGATGCTTCCAAATAAGTTTCAGCTTTCCTAGCCCAGTCATGAGAAGTTCTTGTCAATGAGAAGAAGATTTTTTAAGATTTGTTCTATACATTTCTATGTAAAACTTGGATTCCCTACTGTGGCCTTGTCCTACCCCAGGGGTTCATGATTTTAATAATTTAATATCTACACTACCCAAGAATGCTTCCACATAAGTTTCAGCTTTCCTGTTCAAGTGGTTCTTGAGATTTTTAAAGATTTGTTCTATAAATTTCTTTGTAAAACTTTGATTCCCTATTATGGCCTCGCCCTACCACCGGGGGTCATGATTTTAACAATTTATTATCTACACTTCCAAAGGATGTTTCCACATTAGTTTCAGCTTTCCTGGCCCAGTGATTCTTGATAAGAAGATTTTTGAATATTTGTTCAATATATTTCTATTTAAAACCTCGATTCCCTATTGTGGCCCCACCCTACCTCTGGGGACATGATTTTAACAATTTAATATCTACACTTCTCCAGGATGTTTCCACATATTAAGTTTCAGCTTTCATGTCCCAGTGGTTCTTGAGAAGAAGATTTTTAAAGATTTGTTCTGTATACATTTCTATGTAAAACTTGAAATTCCTTAATGTGGCCCCGTCCTACACCCGGGGGTCATAATTTTAACAATTTAATATCGACACTACCCAAGGATGCTTCCAAATAAGTTTCAGCTTTCCTGGCCCAGTGGTTCTTTAGAAGAAGATTTTTAAAGTTTGTTCCTATATATTTCTATGTAAAACTTCGATTCCCTGTTGCAGCCCTGTCCTAACCACAGGGGGTCATGATTTTAACAATTTAATATCTACACTACCCAAGGATGCTTCCACATAAGTTTCAGCTTTCCTGGCCCAGTGGTTCTTTAGAAGAAGATTTTTAAAGTTTGTTCCTATATATTTCTATGTAAAACTTCGATTCCCTGTTGCAGCCCTGTCCTAACCACAGGGGGTCATGATTTTAACAATTTAATATCTACACTGCCCAAGGATGCTTCCACATAAGTTTCAGCTTTCCTGGCCCAGTGGTTCTTTAGAAGAAGATTTTTAAAGATATTTCTGATATATTACAATGTAAAACTTGGATTCCCCTATTGTGGCCCTGTTCTACCCCAGGGGGTCATGATTTCAACAATTTAATATCTACACTATCCAAGGATGTTTCCACATAAGTATCAAGTTTCCTGGCCCAGTGGTTCTTGAGAAGAAGATTTTTAAAGATTTGTCATATACATTTCTATGTAAAAATTGGATTCCCTATTGTGGCCCTGCCCAACCCCCAGGGGTCATGATTGTAACAATTTTAATATCTACACTACCCATGGATGCTTAAGAAATAAAGTCCGCGTTTTCGTGAATGTTGCAGAATAACCTCCGAGGTCGAGAAATGTTGTTTGAAAGATAAAAGCTAAGGCGCTAGCCGAGGCTTTTATATTTCAAACAACATTTCGAGACCGAGGAGGTTATTCTGTAGCATTCATGACAACAAGGACTTTATTTCTATTCTTCCACGTATGGTACAAATGCTAAATTAAGGATAATCGTTTCCTCTATAGAGAAACGAATTAGGTCACCATGTCTCGATTACGCTGTTTCATTTAACACCAGAGGTAAAATTTGTCTGCTTACCTGTGTATAGAATGCAGACGATTTGAGCTTTCGCTACATTAAAAATAGCCTTTTTACAAATTACAAATATGTTCATAATATGTATTGATAAGGTAAAATAATTATACAATAACAAAATCATGTTCCTGTTTTACTGCTAAAATCACGCTGTTTAATGTGTAGGGAGGTCCGTGGAATAGCCCTGCTTAGCTATAACCAGAAGTCTCTGTCGAGACTGTAGCTCTACTGGTTTATACTTAAAACAAAGGAAGAGAAAAGTAGCAGTTGGGACTTGAAACTTTAAAACAGCAATAAATAGAAAAATGATCCTTGCCACTCATCAAAATAAAAACCAATGCACAGAATTATGTATCTTAGTATAGTCTACTTGTGTGCCAAATTATATTGTAATTGGACCAAAACTGTAGGAGAAGCATTTTAAAAGAATTTCTCAGAAACTTGTATTTTTAGTTACCATGGCAACACCGTTCATTGAAATAAAAAATCGATGCACAGAATTATGTATCTTAGTGTAGTCAACTTGTGTGCCAAGTTATATTGAAATCGAATTAAAACTGTAGGAGGAGTAGCATTTCGAAAGAATTTCACAGAAATTTCTATTTTTAGTAGCCAAGGCAACATCATTCATCGAAATCAAAAACCGATGCACAGAATTATGTATCTTAGTGTAGTCGACTTGTGTACCAAGTTATATTGAATTCGGATCAAAACTGTAGGAGGAGTAGCATTTCGAAAAGAATTTCACAGAAATTTCTATTTTTAGTAACCACGGCAACACCATTCATCGAAATCAAAAACCGATGCACAGAATTATGTATCTTAGTGTAGTCGACTTGTGTGCCAAGTCATATTGAAATCGGATCAAAACTGTAGGAGAAGTAGCATTTCGAAAGGAATTTCACTGAAATTTCTATTTTTAGTAACCACGGCAACACCGTTCATCGAAATCAAAAACCGATGCACAGAATTATGTATCTTAGTGTAGTCTACTTGTGTGCCAAGTTATATTGAAATCAGACCAAAACTGTAGGAGGAGTAGCATTTTGAAAGAATTTCACAGAAATTTCTATTTTTAGTAACCACGGCAACACCGTTCATCGAAATCAAAAACCGATGCACAGAATTATGTATCTTAGTGTAGTCTACATGTGTGCCAAGTTATATTGAAATTGGACCAAAACTGTAGGAGGAGTAGCATTTTGAAAAATTGTTTACAGACAGACAGACAGACGGACGGACGACAGACGCATTACTATCGCATAAGCTCTTCTGGTCTCTGACCAGTAGAGCTAAAAACCGACATTCATCAGAAACTTGATGCAATTTACAGTGTTTATAATGCAAAAGACGACACATCGATGCAGTCTAAACATGTATTTCATTCTACAGCCAAACATGCATTTGAATTGTTCAGATTTGATACGTGTTTCTGATCTGATAATTTTTTGATGACGTTTGTGATTTATTGGAGAATAATGTCCGGCGGTTTCCTTTGAAGTTTTGAATAATCGTGGTAGAATTCCACATAATTTTCAGCTTTCCTGGCCCAGTGGTTCTTGAGAAGATTTTTTAATGACATACCCCACCCTATTTTTCTTTTATTGATTATTTCCCCTTGTAAGGAGACTTGGCCCTTCATTTTAACAATTTAAACTCCTCTTCACCCAAGGATGCTTTGTTCTAAGTTTGGTTAAAATTTGCCCATTGGTTCTTGAGAAGAAGTTGAAAATGTGAAAAGTTTACAGACGGACGGACAGCTAGACAGCTAGACGGACAGACAGAAAGACGGACCACGTACAAAATGTGATCAGAAAAGCTCACTTGAGCCTTCGGCTTAGGGGAGCTAATAAAAATGGAACTAATTCCCTGCCTGGGATGTCTCAGAAGCAAACAAAAATAATTGGTAATGATTCAATATATTTAGTATCTTACCAGTGATGCCAATCTATACAAAATAAGGATAATGATAAAAGATTCCATATTATACAACTTTTTTGAGTGCCTTCCTTTTTTGGGGGAATGTTCAGTCCACCTGAAATAATTAATCAAATTGAAAATACAGTCATATAGATGTATCATCTTAATATAATCATGATAATAATTAAGGAAGCTCTAAACACTAACAGAAAGTGTTTTTTGGAATCAGAGAAAAAATATATCATAATTATAGAGATATGCATATCAATACTTTTTTAATTCATTTAGAATATAGCGTATATTTTCAGCATTTATTTATACTGTAACTTCATAAAACTTCCAAAAAATAGCTAGAGCTCTTTAGAATGCAGTGTTTAGAGCCTCCTTAATTAAAACTGACTAACACACAACATTTGCGCCAGTACCAGTGCACAATACACACACACACTCGCCGACTCGGAGCTCCACGAGTGACTCGCACACTACACGGGCACTGGAAGTTAATGTATACACATACTATATATTTACATTAACTTCCAGTGCCCGTGGCACACTATAACAAGATTAAGATTGCAAAGCACTTGACACTCGCTTAGATTTGTGTAGTTTCTCATGTTAATATATGTAAAAAGTACAATTACAACATCATAAACAGGTATTTCATTAATGTTTTTTTCTTTTTACACATGTTAAATGTAATACATGTTATATGCAACTTTTTGACCGATTAGACTTGACTTTCCAAGCACTGGGTACAAAAGGACCACCGGCCGCATACCACCACCGGCGCCAGTCTAGCTCTAACATAATAATGGGTGGTATATATTTTTTCTCGCCCTGTTATCAGTTAATAAATTTCCAATGCTATTAACCATGTTAACCATTAGAACATGTAGAAATAAAATTTCCAACTTACAAGAACATGTCGACTTTTCAAAGATTGCGCCTTCTGAGCGATAACGGGTGGGTTCCCCCCGATTTCGTGTTTGCGTCGAGTGGTTTGGCGCTCAATAATTTCGAACAAAGAGGTTTTTCTATTTACACATCAGTAATCAGTTAATAAAATAACATTCAATTGATAGCCTATAAAGTTTTAGCACTTAAAATGAAATTCATTACAACTTCAAAGCTAATCCATCATGAAATTTTACATCTTTAATACTTTATTATTTTCCTTTTTTATTTCTATATAATGTATATAAATGTAAATTTTTTTCCCCTATCTGTAGACAAATAAATAGGGCCTACATAAATCTTTTTTTTTTATTAAGCTGCTCATCATTACTCTACTGATCAAGCGGACATTATATTGTAGGCCGACCCATCACCGCGACCATGTTTACATGGTCTAGGGCAAAACCACTCAGAGCGGACGAGGAACTGGGGCGAAACCACTCGCATTCAAAGGGGTGCGTCGATTTACCCAAAAGGACCCAAATGAACCCAAAAGGACCCAAAAGGAACCCAAAAGGACACCAAATGACTCAAATGAATAAATTATGATACCTTGAAAATTAATAATTTGAATTACGAATATCATATTACAAGTTTACATAAAAGTTGGCAAAAGCCAAAAACATATGTAACAGGAAAGGAGAAAATGTATGGCTGGACCGGGAATCGAACCCGGGACCCCTGTATCTCTCGTCAGGTGCTCTACCAACTGAGCTATCCAGGCCGATATCCACGGCCCAAACCATTACATTCCTCCCTCTTTAAATTGTCTTCGCCCTCGAAGACCAACCCAAGTTCTTATTGCCCCTGGCAGGACTTTCACCTGCAATTCCACAGGTGGTCAACGGCACCAAATCTGTAACAGGAAAGGAGAAAATGTATGGCTGGACCCGGAATCGAACCCGAAACCCCTGTATCTCTAGTCAGGTGCTCTACCAACTGAGCTATCCAGGCCGATATCCACGGCCCAAACCATTACACATACATTTATCTTGTTGCAACTTTTCTTAAAGAATTTGAAATAACACAAGACTTTCATAGCATATCAAACACTAAATATGGTCAGATATGCTTTAATTTCTTTAAGTTGAAATTAACAAAGTACTGTATTATCTTATTTCTCTTCTGTTTTACCACATCTTACTATATCATATTTAATAAGTGAAAAAAAGTTTTATTTTATGACACGTTCTAGAGATAGGCATATGATATCGGGGGTGGATAGGGTGGATAGGGTGGGGGTCGGTGGGGGACCTTCCACCCCAACACCAAACAGACACTTTCGCCTCAAAAAACTAGTTTTAGTTTTAATAAAATATGAAAGTATTTATTTAATATCCATTTATTTTCTTTATTTCAAGTCCTTTTGGGTTGTTCTTTTTCCTTTTGGGTCCTTTTGGGTAAATCGACGCACCACAATAAAGCAATTAAAATACAACAGTAACAAAATTTACATTGCCACCATTATAACAATATATCACTTTATTATTTCTTTCAATGTGTTTGAATTTGTTTTATCCATCATCACTTAAAAAGCTTTTTCATAGGCGTCGGAAGCAAATTGAAAAGGGGGGGGGGGGGCTTAGCCACCAAAAAAGGTATACCCCAATTTTAAATGCCTATATCATGTACATATTTTAAAGAAAACAAGGGGGAGTAAGCCCCCCCCCCCCCCCGGTTCCGACCGACGCCTATGAAAATATATGAAAATATGTTTTTAAAGGTTTCACCAATACAGGTCCTATTCTAATATTGTGTCGTTTTAGGTAAATATTAGGTGTATCTGAGTGTGACTAAACAAACTCCATAGGCCTATGTCACTGTGTCAATTCTCTGGGATTACTTTCGTTCCCTACGAATTACCGGGCCGAGAATTGTGAAATCGAAATCAGGGTTTTTTGGAAATATATAAATGAAAAACTATTCAATAATTTGTCATGAAACTTACAGATGTATTCAAATTCAACGCCAAATTTTAAAACTGTTTGGAAATTAGAAAGCCCCCCCCCCCCCCCCCCCCCCACGAAATAGCATTGTCGTGTTTGGGATATTTTCCCCTTTTAAATTTTTTTTATTTTTTTTTGCTTTAAGTTTTTTTTATTTGATGGTGTATTTTTTTTTAATTACTTAGCCCCCCACTTTCAATTTGCTTCCGACGCCAATGAATTTGTTTTTTGAACTTGATTTTTATTAAATATCCTTCAGCCTAACAAGAAAAATATTCAAAACTTATTTTAATACACTTTCAATATACACAAGAACAACATAAAGAAAGTTTGAATATTTGGTAGTATATTAAGATTTAAACATGTACATAAAAGATGTTTACAGGTATGATATGTATCCTTATCAACATTCAAGAAAGTATTCACTTTTGTTTTTCTTGTGGATGCTCACTTCTATCTGATGTTTTCAAGCTTCTTGTGAAAAGTGTTCTTAAAATGGCATCTGCATTCAATGACATATACAATGCCAGTGGACCAGTGACTTGCATCAACTGCTTTTGAAACTGTTAACTGGCATAGAATTTCCTTTGGGACACCCAAATTGTTTCAAACATTTTACACCTGCAAGTTGCCAGATGAAATACAAAAGGATTGATACAAAAGTCATTTGAAATTTTCAATTCTCCACTCGTAGTGATGAGTGCACTGAAAGTTTTTAAGGTTGTCCTGTCTGATATCATGGGTACATCTTGTCACAGTCCTCTGAGAGTCTGTAGATTGAAGTTATGCTTTACTGTTTTCTTTAGCTTTATAACCTGGAATGATCTCTGATGTAGTTATAGAGAGCCATGCCATGTTCTGAATTTAACTTCTTCCCACTGTCACAAAGTACTGAAATAAAAATGGTTTAATTAAATATACCATATATTTTTGGGGTTTTATATGTTATGTCATGACAGTTGAGGCAAATGACTGAATACATTCTTAAACAAAACCATCCAGTGTTGTTCTAAGATTGCCAGATGTGCAGACCCATACCTGTAATTAAGCAAGATTCTGTAACATGCACAGAAGTACATGTATGATAATAAATTAGGTACAGGTCCGACAAATAATGAGTTAATATAAATCTGGCAAATAGCTATGTTTTCATTATAAAACTTAACCTTCATCATTATATTTATGTTCCCCAAACGGAGTTTGGGAACATATTGTTTTTACTTTTTTTCTGAATTTTCTTCTCCGGTACTTTTTTTGTCCGCGAGTGTTCTCGTAAACTACTCATCCGATCTAGGTGAAACCTTTTTAGGGTCACTAGGTATGTAATGTAGATGTGCGGAACGAAGGTCATTTTGCGCGCACGTGCGTGCATGTGCGCACTCGTGTAATGCATGAAATGACCAATATGATAGATATAGCCGTAACCTTTTAAATTTTTGATGAAATGCTTTGAAACTCATAATATAAGGATATAATAGTAGTATAGACATGTTGACATGGTCAAAATAGCAAGATCTCACGCACATGCATGTGCGCTTCGTTCCGATTGGCTGAAACTAAAGTCTTTATATCTTTTTTATTTTCTGACAAAATCCTTTGAAATTTTGAACATAGTCATACATTATGAAGATCTACAGCATGATATATTAAAATAATCATGAACGCACGGACATGCACGTGTGCTGCAATCTGATTGGCTAAAAGTTTAAATGCCTAAAACTTTCTTAGTTCTCAATAATACAGGGTGAAATTTCGAATATGAATAGATATAATGAATGCCTACATTATTCTACCATCAAAAGTAAATGTGAGGACGTCATGCACATGCGCGCACACACAATGCGTTAAACGACAGTATACTTAAGTCTTTTGATGTTCATGCAGAATTAAGAACTTCTAAATGTAAAGACATGTAACATACTGAAGCAGATCTTTTTACCCCTTGACCTTGATACTTAGGTCAAGGTCACTAGTAACCTGAATAAAATGTTGATATTAGCTATTTACCAAAATAACCTTGACCTATGAACTTGAAATCGACCTTAACCTTTGACCTTAACGTAGCTACGGATAGCGATCACGTGACATTGCATGTGAATTCTAAATTAAGAATTTTTCGGTTGGCTTATTCCGGAAATGCGCATAGTTCAATATGGCGGACTGCAAGTTGTAAACAACGTCATGAACGTGCTCCGAGAAAAGTACACGGGAAAGGTTATAGGAACGCTCACCCGTAAAGGTAGATCAAGTAAATTAGAGCGAATGAGAGAATACAACATCTTAAGAAACAGAAAACTATAAAACCTTTTTTATGAACTAAACTGTCTGTGTATCGCAAACGACCGACTAGCACCCCCTATTCCTAAGCAGACGACGCTGCTGGTTTGAATCTCAATCATGATATGACATGGATGAAATCGAAAGAGGGACGAAGATTTGTTGAGATGAGGAACTTGACAAATCAGTTTATATGCTCTCAGTCACAGTGATATCGTTTGTGTCTTTTCCCAAAACTTTGAAAGCGATGGTGACTCGGTACTTTATTGTATCAAATTCAATACATTAGGCCTACATGTAAATGGGTCTGATAGTACTGTATTTTTTATGGATATATCGACACTTTCCACGGGAAATCCCGGCCCCGAAAGGAATACGATGGAGAGGCCTATGATCACTGTTGGTATCAACTCAAAAGTAGCTCTTCGTAAGTCTATCTATAGATATTTACATGACATACTTTCATGATAATAGGCCTACTTTAATTCAGCATTAAACTTCACCCTTATGAGTATTAGTAAATTCAGAGAATGTATTAAAGGGGCAGTCATTCATTTGATGGGGATGGGTGGGAGGGGCAAATTTTATGGGTGTCAGATTATGTATTTACAGTGAAGGACAGATAATTTATTTTTATTTTCAAGATCACTGGGGGCCTAATTTTTGTCAGATATTTTTCTATTCAAAAAATTCCACATTTTATAACCATTTAGGGTAGGTATTTCGATTCACCTTTACAGTATTTACATTTTGACTTACAAAAATAATTTTAAGGATAAAACATGTTTGAAAAGTAAATTAATTTATCAATAATCAGATTAATTTTGTGTAAATTATAATTATTTTTGTTGCTCTTAGTGAGTGTTTCAGTTTGGTAAAATTTACAGTAGCCCTGCAGGGCAAGTTTAAAGGCATGTTTAGTAGTCCAAACTCAATATTCAGTTGTCGCGGGCCAGAGGACTACCCTTAGTGCCGAACCTTAGTGCCGAACCCTGGACAGATTATTTTTGTTTTTCTTCACTGGTAAAAACTGTGTCAGTGTGGTAAACATTGAAACTGTTTACATGTTGTTTGCTGGTCTGATGAAATTGACAAATCTTTGTATTACTGCTGCTGTATAGTTAGAATATTGACCAGGCAGTAGGGCATTTTAATTTAATGTTAGATTTACTGGTTAAAAAGTTATTTGCCAATCAACTAATATAATTAAATATTGGTTTTGCTGGTATACATGTATATTTATTTGATCTATTTTTTTTTCAGCCATCAAGATGGAACTTTCTAGTATAGAACCACCAACCCATAGCAGTCCAGGGGATCTTGATGTCAGCATAATAGTCATAATGGTTAAGTCATCATTTAAATTTTGCTATGCCAAATTTAATAAGTGTAGAAAATTGGCAATTTACATGTATGAGGTGTAAATTTTTGCAAGTTATATATACTTGTATGTAATATGTAATGGTTTGGGCCATGGATATATATTCGTCCAGGGTAGCTCAGTCTGTATGGCACCTGACTAGTGATGCAGGGGTCTCAGGTTTGATTCCCGGTCCATCCATACATTTTCTCTTTTCCTGTTACATATACATGTTTTTTTTTTACCAAAATTCTATATACAAGATAAAGACATCGTGGGAAATATATTTTGACGTTGACTGCATAATATATTGTATTTGTTAAATTTTATAAATTACAGATAGATTCATCAGTACAGAGTACAAGGTATATGAATATGAAGTTTAGACCATTCATGCTGATGATGATTCAACTACTGCAGCTCGACGGAAGAATGATTTTCCACCCCTACCAAAAAAGAGCAGGACAAGAATCATTTGTTGAAAATAAACTAACATAGTCAATAGACTGCTTTTCTTTGTCAGCTTTATATTACCGAGTACATGTATCTCTTGATTGAGTGTTACATTTAAAGTGGAAACTAATCACTCCACATATGGATGTCTTTCCATTTTTCATATTTAATCTACCCTGTTTTTATGTCTGGTGTGGTAATAGATCACTCAACATGCAGCCTTTCATGTTTAATGTACTATGTTATGTTTTGTATATGTCAGTTGCAGTATTACACTGCTGTAGAGTGTAGATTATTCTTTAAAAAAAAAAATGTATGCATAATTTAATGTCGACTTGTGATGTCGGATTCAGTAATAGGCCAATCAACAGATATTCTCTATTATGCATAATCTACACTGTGAGTGTTTTTCAGGCTTTTTAATTAGCTGCTCCAAATATTCATGTAGAATCTTTTTTTTTTAACTTTTTATATAAAATATCCTGCATCAAGTGTTATGTCCCAGTGCAGCAATGTCATTTTAATTTTAATTTTTAGGTATAGTTTATGTAATTTCATTTCTCAGGTCAAGGACGGTTTTAGACTAAGCCCATTTTAAGTTTTATTTTTCTCTGTTTAGCGTCCAACCTTCAATCAAAAGCCTACCTACATGACTACATGTACCTATTTGTAAAAAAAAAAATAAACTAAAAATTAAAACACAGAATGTACGTGTATCATGTCTATAGTTATAATAATAGTGTAAATCTGAGGATTTTATTTCATCAATCTGCTTTTCTGGTAGAAATATCTATTCTTCAGCAAAATCAAAATAATAAATGCCTAAAGTAAACAACCTATGACATATTTATTGTACATATTTGAGAAATTGACAGAACTCAAAGATGTCAACAAAAATATTCAAGTGTAGGGGTTGTGATTTTGTTTGATTGTCTGATACATGTAGGTGTCAAAAACCAAGGTGCGTTTGGATGCCAAGCAGAAAAAAGACTTGGAATGGCCTATTAAATGTTATTATCCTACCTGCTCATGGAATAAAATGACTTTTGATCAATTTGAAAGAGTACTGATAATATTTTTTTCAATGATATTCTTATTATTCTATGAAATAGAAATTTGTGAATTTTGCAGTGCTATGTCAGATGGATTTCTTTATTCTGTATGACCAAAATCTATTTTCGGACAAATTAAGTAGAATAGATTTGACATGTTAATAATTAGGGGGATTTTTGACAATGCAATGAACAATATCAGATGCATAAAAGGAGGGGGTGTATTTGACCATTATGTAACTTAATACATAGAGAATAATACATACCCTTTTCCATATCACATCCTGTATCAGCCCGAGACACCAATATCAGCCAGAGGGCCGAAGGCCCGAGGGCTGATATTGGTCGAGGGCTGATACAGGATGTGATGTGGAAAAGGGTATGTTTTATTATATTTATTACATACTTAGTAATAAAATACAGAACACATTAAGTTGAGAAGAAAATAAATAAATAATCATCTTAAAATGTACACAGTCTATTGTCTCATAAAGTTTAGGTTTGTTTCTGTACTTCTATTTCAAGTGTCCCCAATCCTTAAATTGAAAATAATCTATTGTATTTGTAAATTAAAATTAACCTTATTTTCAAAAAGTTAAAATAAATAGAATATGAACCAACCAAAAATTTTGTATGATCACAAGTACTGTTTTTGTTGTTTAATTTACTAAGGGTGTGATAGTGATCCGTATCAGCACTGCAGGGCCTATAACCTATATCAGCCCTGCAAATCCATATCAGCCCTGCAG